TCAGGGAGTAGTAGCTGGTGCCAGTTGAGCAGAGGCGTCGGGTGGCGGATTGGGGAGTGAGGAGGTCGGCGAGGTAGGGAGGTGCCAGGGAGTGATCACTGTGAGGAAACACAATCAATAGCCTGTCTGACGAAAGGTCATTGGCCTGAAACGTTAACTCATTTTCCTCTCTCCATAGATGCTGCCTGAACTGATGCATTCCCAGAGACACGTCTTTATTTCAGATTTCCAGCATTTGCAGTATTGTGCCTTTTGTTTAATAGCCTGTTATGTTGTTTAGTATTCTTTCCAAAATAATGATCCCAATTTCACCAAAGGGGGGAAGAGAGGGTGCAACTCCTCAGAGCCCAATTTAAACCTCACCAAACACTGACACGTATCTTCAGCAGTTGTATTCTTTCATGTAATATCTTTCCAGAATGATGATCTCAATTTCATTTCCAACTCACAGATCAAAATTTTTTTCCTTTTCCCTTTCTAAAATGCCAAACCACTCACCACACTAGATGGTGAGATCAGATTCCTTGTTTATTTGCTTTATAGTTTGCAGTTGTTGCGTTTCGTAGTGGTGGCAAAAATGCATACTGATTGCTAGAAATAGCAAACTTTTGCTAAGCTTTTATAACAACATTTCGGGGCAGGGCAAAACATTGGGCAAGTTTCCTCACTCCACATGCCTCTGTTTACCTAGCAGTAAGTAGGAACTCGGTTGTTAAGTCGATTGGCGGATTGCTTTCCCGGGGGTAATAATTCCTTCAAAAAAAATAATAATTTGGTCACTCGATCCATGACTGACGGGACAAGGCGCTATATCAAATGCAAGGATTATTATAATGGAACAATGATATAATAAAAAATAATCCTTGCATTTGATATAGCGCCTTATCAATTCTTCACGACGTCTCAAAGTGCTTTACATAATATACTGTAAAGTGAACTGACTGTATATTTTGTGGGCAAAATTATAAATCCAAAGCCATGGTAAAGATCAATGTTGTGGCCTCAGTGTAAAGTCTTCATCAATATCCAAAGGTTACAAATTGCTTGCTCTTTGCATTGCTCCAAGCAGAGCAATTCATTGCTTTGGGCTTCCAAGTTCTCACTTTTAAAGTACAGTATTTGTGGAATGATGGATTTTTAAAGGCACTCCTCCATTTTCTCCTCTCCTGAAGGAGTTTAAAGTCCAGCCTTTTACTGGGGTACCTTTCACAAGAAGTGGGTGGTATTGAGTGTCCAACGGCTATCTGACCATGGTGTTGTGGAGGGAGAAGGGGCAATGCCGCAGAGCCCAATTTAAACGTCACTAGATTTGACACAAATCTCCAGCAGGGGACACTGGTTAGCTTTAGGAGCTTTAACCCTGATACCACCTGAGCTCCCCATCATCCCATTAATTAACTTTCATCATCCAGGCTGTTTTGGGGAAAAAGTTCTGTGCTCCTTATATTGGATAGGAAAGCTGTGTCCAAAAATTAGTTGGTAACAATAGAAATACGTTGGGCTACATTGTCAAATCAGTTGTCTAGAATTCAGGCTCATGTTGTACAATGCTCTAATTTAGCTTCACCTACAGTACTGTGAATCACTCTGGCCAGTAAAACATAAGGATGGCCTCCTCCTAATGTAATTGCAGATGTTAAGGGAGAAAATGACTTCCAAACTAATGTCATGCCCATTTTCCTGAGTAAACTAGATTTGTTTCCAGTTACATCATAGGCAATACACTTTGTAACGCTGATCAAGTTGCTTAATAATCTTCTATATAGCTATTCTAGTTTTCTGTAGTGGACTGAATAACACTTATCGAGCTTTTTCAACATGAAAGGTGTGATAGTGAGATGTCCATGACCCAGGCGATCATGTTTCGTGTCATCAATACTCTCCTCGGCTAATTTTATCTGACCGAGAAAAGGTCAAGTAATGGACCAAGTAACTCATCCAGGGTAACCAAATCAAAATGTCAATTGGAATTTGGATCAAAATGCTTGTTTCATTTCTGTTTTTGAGAATTCAACACTTCTAGTAAAGTAATACCATACTGACAACGTACATATAGATAGCACCTTTCATTCTTATCAATGCATTAATTGTCTCCCACCTTGATTTTTCCAATGCCCCCATGAGCTCCACCATTCATAAAATCCAATTCAAAATTAATTGGCCATGCACCCATAACAAACTCAGCACCATCTTAGCCTGGCTTTGCCAAGCTCCATTAGCTCCCTATTGCAGAATAGATCAATTTCAAGATCCTCACACGCAAGGCACTTCATTACCTGGCTCCTCCCTACCTCTCCAACTTGTTTACACCACACACCTCAACCCCTTAACTTAGCTGGCTCCAACCTTCTGCACATCCCTCAGTTGCTCTGCTCCCCCATTGGCTGCCATGCTTCCAGCCAGATAAATGCAATGTTGTTCAGGTTGGGAGGAAATCTCAAAGTGCTTCACACAACTGAATCTGCACCTGAGCTTGGGAATGGGGAGGAAAGTAAGAAAACAGAGGATGTAGGGTGGGGGTGGGAGTTAGGGAGGGGAACATAACTGAGAGCGCAAGTGAAATTATAGACTTTCAGGCACTCCTTAAAGGCTAGGTGTGTGAGGGCAAGGCAGAGGGGTCTCTGTGATATTGCCAAAGAGCAGGCACAGAATGGTTGAAAGTTCATAACATCATGAACTGGTTTGTATTAAGTTATGAATACTTAAATCTAGGGACTGAATTCATGTAGAAATATCAGGAATTTGAAAATGAATAACAAGTCTCAATATTAAAAATTAATCCTTAAACAGATTCATTTTCAGTGATTTTTATATTAATTTAATTAAAACAAAAGCAACATTATTCAGATTGACATCTAAATTTATACTCTAATATTTTATCTAAATGCCAATTAATGTTAATATTGTACTGCAGTATCCACAATAACAATACTGTATTCAAATGTATAAATGAGATACATACAGCTATAAATACAGACTAGTATACAAAAAAGAAAGGAATGTTTTTCCCACAGTTACAGACTTTGTCGTAATACAAAAGTTTTTTTTCCCAGATACCATGTTCCATTTTTCGAGTAAACCTTTGGCAAGGTGCACTGCACAATCCCACGTCAAGACGGTCTTCCGGCAGGATAAAATTGTTATGTGCGTCACACTCGGCTGGCTTCCAATGAAAACTAGGTCAATCACTTAAACTATGTGAATTCACACAGAACAGGTTAATATCCTGAGACTGCTATCAAAGAATATTCAGACACTTAAAACTGGTATTTTAGTTTTGTGGCAAAACAACCCAAAAATGTACACACTTTCATTAAATGAGCCCCAAAGTAGTAAAACTATGTTGATATACAGTAGAGCTCACAGAAGATCAACTGATGAGATAAATCCCCACTGAAGACCAATGGTTAAAGATCAGAATAACTTATATATAAATTAAACTCCCCTCCTTCCCACCGCAGTAATTGTCATCAAATCACTATTTGAAAAGTGACTGTATGACTGTGACTGCAAACCGTTTTGGGGATTTGATACAAAGGTGGCTGGATTATCTAATGTCACAAATATATTTTAACAGGCGTATTTCTAAGTATAAGACTGCATAAATGAGCAAGCTCTAGTGACAGATGGTATAACTTTATATTTTCATTAATGTGGGGGCCGAAGAGGAAGAGCTCTTAAGAATATCTGTTTGGATCAAATGCAGCTAAAACCAAGATTTCTTTGCCCAATAGGAATTTATCTTAAAAGGGATCCACTGTAGATTGCAACATTTCATGAAAGGTGATCATGCTTCAATTTTCCTTTACTGACCCTTGTCCTACAACATTTAAGAGTCGAGTTGATACATAGTGTGTTTTGCTGGAGTTTGTTTTGAAAACTACTCTGAATTTTACAGAGAGTGTATCCCATACAGTACATACAATGTGTATATAAAAAATAAAATCTACACAGCATTTCCTCTTCCCTCCCCCCAAAATGACTTCAAGTATTGTTTCTAAAATTGTGAACAAAAACCGTGGCAAACCATTGCATAATTTGGTTAATGAAATAAAAAAAACACTGCAATCTTTGAGGAGGCTTTATTACACTGATGTGCAATGTTGTGTAGAATTTATATTTATGGTTTGGTAATAGAAATGGTTTGGAGTAGTAAAAGGGATACAATCTCTTTATATACATGATAAAATTAACAGTTTAGGCTATATTATACAATATCTTCAGCCAGCATGCTTCCATTTTGCTGACAAATAATCACAGACAGACTATACAGATCTGTATATCAATTTATCATAATACATCAGGCCAACTACCTGGTGTACTACTGTCTGTCCTTCAAGACTATCTTATTTGTTTTACGTAAACAGAGCAACCGTTCTGTGCCATTAAATTTTGTCCCATAGGGATACTGTAAAATTCACTGAACATGACTATTGCCATTTTTTTTAAAAAATGTGTATTTATATTACAAAAAGAAAGCTAGACATTTACAAACATGCTTTTGTTAAAATGTACAGGTATCCATTTGGTTCAATTACTAGCAAGGACCAAATGAAGAGCAAATTGCAGTTTCTAATCCCCTTGGTTTACGTGAATATATACAGTGGGAGTTACCACATTATTTACTCTTTAGAGCAATACTTTCCTTCATACGTTTAACTTGAGCCAGCATATTAACGTCCACTTTGATTCTGCTAAGGACGACTGTGGGTTGCATACGTTGAAGTTGCTTTTGAGCAAGTTCAACACAATCTAAGTGTGTCTTGTCCATTATTACTTTTATGTTCTTAAGAATATGGAGAGACAATGGGTTAGAAAAATTAGTAAGGGTTTGAGGTTCTGTGGTTTCCACACATAATCTGTTTACAGCTGATTCTTTACTGTGGTTAAAAGGAACCCCTGATCTCTCATCACCTCTCATTGCACGTGTCGCTGATGAACTGTTGTTTCCTGCCATTACTTTAGATGAGTGCAACCCACCATCCGCCATTTTTCCAGCATTAGCAGTAGAACCACTGTGACATGGACCTTTATAAGCCACAGGTTTTCTCTTTCGCTTTACAGCAGACTCCTCAAGGAACTTTAGGAATGAGACTTCAAACCCCATAGGTTTAAATGTACTCAAATCAAAAGTCTTGTGATGTTGACCCTTGTTCAAACACGGACTGTTGTCTGGAGCAGGTGAAGCCACTTTCTCATGAAGAGTTCTGTTCACATTATCTTCCAATAGTTGTTCAGGTTTTTCCATGACTAAATTCTTTTTCTTTTTACTTTGAACACATTCTTTTTCTATGTCTGAATGAGTCAGGTGAATGTTTGACCTTTTCTTACAGGGTTGATGGTTATTTACATTTGTGAACTTATTGTCAGCGCTCACCTCTACCATTTTTCCAGTCCAGTTTTATTCTCAGCAGAACCATTTGTATCATTAACCAGCTTAGCATTAAACATTTCTGAAAGTTCATCAAAAGAGCTCTTTAAAAGGTCATTTTTCTCCACTCTCTTATTCAAAATTTCAGTTTCACTTAACTTGACCTGCTGTTGAACCACGTCTCCATAGATGGCATTCTCCACAGATCCCTCTTGACCGTTGCTTACGTACTCAGTTGATTCTTTGCCTTGGGCGCTCGAATACGTCCTGCAAGTTACCAGATGATTGTAGTATTGACTAACAAACGTATTGGATATTTTGTGATGAATCCTATAATGTTTTACTAGACTGCTTTCACTGGTGACAACAGATGAACAACTCTCAAACATACATGGAAACTGCTCTCTCAGAGACTTGCAGCTACACATGGCCAAGGCTTGGGCCTTACTTTTAAACGTATATTTACCAATTTTTCTAGAGCTGTAAGACTTACTATCATCAACTTCACCGCCATTCAAATTCTTGCTATCTGAAGTAAAACATTCCCTTGATACGGGTTTAGATTTACCGTGATTTTCGACGTCTTCATTTTCACTGAATTCTTCGGATCCTAAATAATCCTTTCCATCGGATAGATCTTCCTGACTAGCTGTCCTTGCAATGTTTTCTTGGTCTGTTGGTATTATTCTTCTGGGTCTCATTAAATGAGATCGATGGAGCTCTCTGTGCTTTGTAAAAATGTGCCTTAGGAGATTAGATCTAGTAGCATAAGTACGGTCACAGCCTTCACAGTCGCACTTGAAACAGGCCATTTCCTGGTCACTATCTTTACTTTCCACATCTATGCCATGAGCTACCAAAAGGTGTTTGATAAAGCTCCAGAAAACTGTAAATGAAGACATGCACTGAGCCTGGTCACAATGAAACTTTCCTTCACTCATGGAAGACACCAATTTCCCCATTTCGTCCAAAGCAAGATCATGAAGTTCAGCATAGTGTTTAATGAGATCAGTAACTCCTTGGAAAATTCTACAACAGTCATCGAGCTGACAACTGAACTCTTTCCTAATCTGGATGCTCTCATTTTGGGTGCTCTCTTCTTTGATCTCTGAACGAAGCAGCAAGTGTTGATCTGACTGATGCACAGCTCGGTAGTGCAGGATTAAGTTTTGTTGAATAGTGAAAGCTGCAGAGCAACCTTTGTGGACACATTTATAAGGTTTGTGAAACTTATTAGCATCATATTGTGCTTTTATTTTTGTAATTGCTTTCCTACGCTTTTTTNCTCCTAAATTGTGTGCCTGATTTAAAGTACATTCGATATTTTGAGCCTGATTTAAATCTCCTTCAGGATTATTCTGCTGCATTGAGACACCAGGCATATGGGCCAAGATGACCTCTGATCTTGTTGTTTGCACAGTAGCCTCTTGTAGTGATGAGACCACATTGGGTCCTGCTGGGAGTGGCAAGACCACTTGTGGCATTGTTGATAGGGGAGAGGAAATTTCAGACCCCACTGGCAGTGGTAGGACCACCTGTGGACCTGCTGGCATGGGTGATACCTGTGGCAAAACCACCTGAGGACAGGTTGGCAGGGATGAGACCAGAGGCAAAGCCACCTGAAGGTCCATTGGCAGGGGTGAGATTGGAGACAAAAGCACCTCAGAATCTATCGGCAAGGAAGAGACCTGGGGCAAAACCACCTGAGGAACAATCGGCAGGGGCGAGACCTGGGGCAAAACCATCTGTGGCCCCAGGATATCTTGGGGCCCTGCAGACAGCAATGATGAATTTTCAGGTTCTGGAAGTATAAGTGATACACTCTGAAGCCCCGCTGGCAGCAGGGACACACTCTGGGGCCCCGCTGCTGGTGTTGAGGCTACCAGCAAAGTGGCAACATGCGGTTCTACTGCTAGTGCAGAGTTGTGTGGTAGCCCTGCTGCCGCTACTAAGATTTCCTGTGGTCCTGCTGGTAGCACCAAACCATTCTGAAGTCCTGCCAGCAGCACCAGGTCATCTTGTGGCATTCCATCATTACACAATACAGTTTGTGTATTCTGAGTGCTGTGTAAATAAGGGCCAAATTCATTAGGTCCTATAGCTACCGACTCTAATTCAGTGTGACACTTAGAATCTTTCTCCTGTGAGTTAATGATTGCTGGTTGAGAAATAATTTCCTTCACCGGCTGTACAGATTCGGCAGTTTTGTCAGAGCCCTCTGGCTTTCTACAGTATGCTCTTTTAATTCTTAGTTTCACCAGTTCTTCCCGTGCTACGTGGTGGACTGACTGATAGTGTGCTCGGAGGTTAGAGTTTCTTGTAAATGTCTTCTGGCAATTGGGAACATGGCATCTAAATGGAGCAAATCTAGTTTGATACATCTTGATTTCCATAATCCTCTCCCTGGAATATTGATGCACTTTAACATAATGGTTAGTCAGAGCATCTTTAGTCATAGCACTATAGATGCACCCTTCGTCCTGGCAGACAAATGGTTTTACAAGGTTTACTTTAAGCTCTTTGTTATTTTCAGTTTGAGCAATTTCTTGTTGTGTGTTTGTTTGTGGAGTTGTCAAACACGGATTGATTAAGTCGGGATTCTCAGTACAATGATTCGTTGATGCATGTGCCATGATGTTCATGGAAGAACCATGCATTCCATTGCTGCTGAAAAGTTTTGCATCACTTTCCAAATTGAGATTTTGTAAGCCCATCAATAGTTCTGCTATTCTTGTATCAAATGTTTTTGACTCCTCAGATGAAGATGTATTACAAGTAGCATCCGGGACACTACCCTGCGTGAAGGGCGCTATATAATTGCAAGTTGTTGTAGCATTTATGATCTCAGGGAGGGGCTCGTTAGCAACAAACATAGGTGCCTCACAGTTGCTTTCCAAATCTTGTGGGTTGATTTCATTGCCCACATATGGCCCTGAGCAAAAGTTGGACTCAAGTGTCTGTTGCAAAGACTCACAAGGAGAAAAGAGAGCAGTGTCTTTTACAGGATTGAGCATTGGTGATACCTCAGCGTTTATACCTTCAGTAGCCACAAATGGCCCTGGGCTGCACACAGCTTTTAGTGCCTGTGACATAGCCATATTTGATGCCATGGCTGGGTTATCCTCTACTGCATTTGTGTCAAAACTAGTTTGAAAGGTCTGCTGAATTACTTCAGTCTCAAATGTGCTTGCAGTTCCAGCATCTTCTAGTGCTTGCTGAAGAGATTTGCTTGATTCAAATACAGTGGAATTATAGCTGCTTTCATGTGTTGACGAAAAGATCTCATGAGCACCAAATGAAGTTGCACTGTCCCCCATTTCAAAAGACTGAAGAAATGTTTCTCCAGTCAGGAATGTATCTGGGATATAGGGAGGGTCACGTGCCTGTGGAGTAAATGCACTGGTTGAAAGAATCTTTTCAGTCTGATATAAAGCCTGTCCATTCTTCTGCCCCACATGTGACGTACTTTCATTTCCATCATATGGCTTACAAATGGCACGACGTGACAAATGACCTCCAAGGGATTTAGGATTAGTAAACTCTCTGTAACATCTACTACAGATAAATTTATCGCCTTTGATGATAGCAGGCCACTTTGCACGTTTGTTGTGTGTGTGCCTTTTCTTCCTGGGTTGAGATACATTTCCATTTTCAACTTTTAAAACACTGGTTACAAGCTGCTGATTTACTGCATTCTGACTGCTTTCAGATAACATATTTGTGATCTGCTCATCTGGCAAACAAGATGGATTTGCAGGTTTGTCCTGATTTTGACATTTCAATGGATTTCTAATCCGTTGAACTTTTGCTAAATTCTCTTTTTTCTTCAAGGCTTCATAGTATTCAGGATGGACAGCCTTTATATGTTTGCTGACACTGCGTGCTAAGGTATAGCTTCTACTGCAGCCTTCAACCTTACAGTTAAACCTTTGAAGCGATTCCACCACTTCACCTCCTACAGTTTCTACACTGGTTTTAGGTAGCATTGGCGTAAACATACCATCCCCTTTAAACATGGTTTCAGACAAAATATTGTGGTTTAGTTCTTCAGTTTTTACGACTTTGTTAGCATATTCACCATTAGGAAGGGAATTCTGGTCTCCGTTTGTTGATGAGCTGTGTAGTTCTTGTGCCACAGGTTTTGATTTAATTTCATTCGTAGTACAGCCTACAGCAAAACCATTATGGTAAGAATCAGACTGGTTATGTGTCTTATGCTGTCCACAGTCACTTTTGTCACCTGAGGTCTGGAGACGTCTTTCCTGCTGTGGCTTTTCATAAGTCAATGACATATCATAATTGTTAATATCAAATTGTTTGACAGTTTTATTATTTTCTACTATGGTTTCCAACAGTTGGTCTATTTGGTTCCCTACCTGTTCAGTTGCATTGTCAGTAATCTGACTTGATTCAAAAGATGAACTATTTTGATCCTCAGTTTTTATACGCACATTTGCAACATGTCCCGCTTCATGCTTTTGGATTTCACTCTGGGAGAAACAAATTTTTCCACAGTTTGGATATCTGCAAGTATAGGAGGAGCTGTGATAATGCTGTGCTTCATGATCATACAACAAGTAGGATTCAGTAAATATTCTTCCACAGTTCTGAAACATACATTTGGCTTTGAACAGGATATGCTCTTTCCTGTGTCCGACTAATTCGGAATATGTGCCAAAGCTTGCGCTACACTCCAGCTGTATACAAACATATGGTTTCGGGCCACAGTGAATTTGTAAATGTTCATTAAGATGAGAAACACTGACAAAGCGTCGCCGACAATATTGGCAAACAACTTTATTACTCTGCATTTTAAGAAACTGTTTTGCCTCTTCCTCGTTGCTATGACCTTTCACATGTGCAATTAAGTTTTTAAAATACTTGAACGTTTTGGTGCAGATGGTTACAGGACAGTTGTAATCTTCTGTGCAGTCAACTTTTTGTGTAGCTGTAATGTCTGGTTTGTATGACTTATCTTTGCCTTCATCATCAGAACCGTCACTGTCACTAAACACTACAAAATCCTCACCGTAGAGGCTGTTTCTTTTAATAGGACGATGTTCTGCTTATCTATTGCAGTCATCTTTGGACTTGCACTATTGTCAGTAATGTTCTTGGGTGGTCTTCCAACTCTTCTTTTTGGTTTTATAGCAGCCAGTCGTTCTTTACATGACTGTTTAATATGAAATGTGACATGTGGGACAAAAATCTCCTTTTTCTTGAAACTTTTGGCACATATAGGGCAGTAATAATTCCCATCCTTCATGTGCGTTTGAGCATGGCGGATGATTCGGTGTCCAAGAAACTCTCTGTCACATAATACACAATACTGCATGTAGGCTTGCCAGTTCTTAAACCTGGCGGATACCACACCTCTCTCGATTTTCTTCTCTTCTTTTTCTTTTTTGATGATCATAGCCTCAGGTGAGTAATTTTGCACTTTTACCATATCACTATAAAACTTAGGAAGTCCGTTCAGAGAATGTTCTTTAGCTTCAACTTCATTGTGGCTCTCGTTGTTTTCATCAAAGAGGTCACTGTCATTAAGTTCATCGATGGAAGACACAATGGAAGCTTCCTCTCCCATTAATGCTAGGCAATGACGTTTTAGAGTTTTCCAGTCCCAAAATTCAGGGTCAAAAGGCCAATGAGTTTTTAAAACAAGTAGGAGTTCACATCGCAGTGAGTTTGGGATTGGACCATTTTCATCATCATACTTCTGGTCTGGCTGGTTATACAATGTTTCTACTGCATAATAAGCTTCCACAGTCGGCTCCAAAAGGAATTCAGTAAGCTGGCATGCACGTCTGACTTCTAGATCATCAGGCAACAAGCACGATATGGTCTTGCAAATAGATGTCTTTACTGTGGGGTTTTCATTTGATTCCATGCGTAGCGCTCTCACACAAAGCTCAATGCAAGATGAAAGCCCAGCTTCTCCAGCCTATGGAAAACATACAAAAAGTTATCTTACATGTAATATTCTAACTTAAATCTGTTTTCACAAAATATGCGCTAACCAAACTTTGGTGAAATATTATTATTTTGTTTTATTTTAAACAGATATTCAGCTAAGATTTGCTTTTATACATGTCATTTTTAATCTTTGCTCTTCATCAACCTTGTGAAGCTGAGAGTTGGGGAGGCAAGTGTCTTACTCTTAGGTTCCTTACAATAAAACTTCTGACCGACTGCCAGCAAATTAGAAATTGTGCAGAGTGCTCCTCTCAACTATGTATGGCCCTGCTCTGTGTAAATTTAAAATGTATTGTGAAACTTGAAAGGGATAGGTTTATATCTTTCAAGAATACTCTATATTGTTCAGCACACTACATGGATCTTGTCTGCACATTTTATGGAAAAGTATACATCAATGCATTGACAAATTCTTGAAAGTGTTTGAAAGATTTTATCTTAAAAATACACAATTTCACCAATTTTGTATTGCTCACTTTTCCATCGGAAATTATCTGAAACAACTGAGCACACCTATCGCTTGAAGAAAAAAATGAAAAATGCTTTATATTGGATTCCCTCTTTAGTTCTTTACGACAGCAGAGTACACTATTGAAAAGCTTAGTGATTTTTAAAAAATGTTGAGACAATTCTCTCTCCCAATTTAGATTGTGATTGCTTGTTCCATACTTGTGATATTTTCACTCAACAGTACAAAAGATGCATAAAGGAATCACTTTCTTTCAGATCCAGTTTAGAATGGGACAGGAGAGAGTGCTGGTTTGTGGGTAGAGGGAAAACTTGAAACAGTAGGATTATATCTTTCAGGATTAATCTCTTTTTATTCAACAATTATTCTGCAATAACATTACTGTTTCAAAAGATGGGTGGTTCCCACGTAGTAGAATAAACCACATTTAGGACTTAGCATCCAAAAGCCAGACCTCTTCACTTGCAACTATACAAAGCTTGAGTGGTATTCCCTGGATGAAACATTTGCTTTTATTCTCTTTGCTTTCCATCACTTCACCAATTGAATAACCAACTAGTTACAATGTTTAGATGACTGGAATGTAAATCTTCTCATTTATGTACCAGATCCTGGGTGGTCAGTCATTACTATTTCAATTCTTACCTTTTCTTGGTAAAACTGCTGAATATGGATGAAAGTGAAACAAGAGGAATGATACATTTGTGGGAAAGGGATGATCATACTTGTATTCAGGAATTGCACTAGAATGAAGCCCCTGTCTCAGGGATAAAAAGACGTGGATTCACTTACACTCACTTGGGGTGGGGGAAATAAAGTTAGTCCAGCAACACTGTACATTGTATAGGCAGCATAGATGGGAGTGTCTAACAGCTGCACAGGAATTTCAAAAAGTGCCCCTTTGGAAATGCCCAGTCAGCTGGATCCCGGTGGACCTAACCGTATAGAGTGCGGAGGATGTTGAGAATGAAAAAAATCCTTTCATAATGAACTTTTATTGTCTTTATTAATACACTGATTATATTCTCTCAATTTCATAACTTAGAGAAGTGAATAGAGGGTTATAGGAAAGGGAAATAGGAGGTGGTGCTCGGGTGGATTATAAACACCAGCACAGTGAAGTCAGTACTGAATATCAGTTGGGCTTTCTGTGCCATATCATTCTATGTAATTCTATATATTTCAGTTTTTTAAAAAAAAAATCTGCTCTGCCTCTCCTATTCATGTACTTATCCCTCAAGCAAGCAAATCAAAAAATTGTTTAAAATAGTGTCTGTTAAAATTTAAGCTCTTTAGTCATTTTGGGCATTGTGAGTAAATGGAAAAAAAGATGGTTAAAAAAAANTCGATGAAAAGTATTTCATGGTACTTCGCACAACTCAATACATTATCCATACCTCTGATTGAATGACCTTAATGAGAAAAAATATGTGATACACAGTTTTAGACAGCATGGAGAATTGCCGACAGCATTCCAGAAAAGTTTGTGCAGAAGGTTCCATCCGTTGCTGCAATTTACTCCAGAAAAGGGTCAGTTCCCTGAAAATAAGAATAATTTATTTAGTCACGTGCAAAAAAAAGTCTCGTTTTTTTTGTATGTTACCCTCGAATTCTCTACCTTTCCCTATTTTTCTCCAGTTCTAGTGTTCCTGGGCCACATAAGCTTCCTACAACCTAGCTGGCACACTTTTATTCCTTCTGTTCTTGTATCAGCCCAATTACTACCCTTTCCGCGATGAAATGCCAAGTTTCAGGCTTTTCCCCGCCATCAGAATGCTCCACGGATAAAGCCAAGTGTAACCACTGTCAAAGGAAATTCCTGATATTTAGAGGCAAAAAAATAATTTACTTTAAATTGTTTTTCAAATAAAGATAATGAAAAGCTTTGACTCTTGCCAACTTGCGTCTAATACTTTCTTGAAATAGGTAAGCAGAATGTATCCCTTCAGGGAGAGAGTGTGCATTCCATTCCGACAATCTATCTCTGGGATTTCCATGTGTAGGTGGGATGCATGAAAATCTCAACTTGGTTTCCAAATGTGTCAGATATGACCCAAATATTGTTTTATTAATATAAAATCTGAGCTAATTCATCCACCACTGTCCCAGGCATGCACATGGATACCTAGAAGTTGTTGCTTAAGTGCTGCAAGATCTTTAACACATTTGCAGATACTCAAAAAGCCATTGGAATTTGTTTTGTGGTCTCTGTTGCCAAACAACAATAGTGAAATCAAGAAAAATCCCAAAGTCCCAATTTTCAGGTGCACTGTTTGACTTCCATGACTGAGATGGGGAGAGTACCTAAAAAAATTCTAATGCCATTTTTGTGCATGCATAAAAGTCTTCAAATATTCCAAGACTGTGTGAGGCCCATGGTGATGACTCACCACGCACAATACAGGTCACCCTGCTGAAGCTGTCGAGTGAGGAAGGTAGTGCACAAGATGAGGGCTGTTTTTTCCTCCCCATCAGACTCCAGGTTACAAATCATCTCCAATGCATCTTTACAGTCAACTGTTGAGATCTTAAAAACAAGCCCACAGAAATTTGTGAAATTAATTTCGATTTTAAAAAACTCTTTAGAAAAGATAACACAAATTTACAGTGTTAAGTCGAGACGCGTTTCTGTCATCTTTGTGTTTGTATATATTTTTTCTTTTATACACTTAAAGTGCCAAATATTCTGAAGCAAAATGCGCTTAAAATAGATTGCATAAATATTACATAGCATTTTTATGCAAAACAGCAAAAAACGTTAGAATAACATAAGAAATCCTAGAAGAAGACCATGCAACATATTCCCTTCAATTAACATGGTCACCCTACATTATCTGTCTGTCTCCCAACTCCCCTGAATCCCTAATTTCACAGTTCCTATATTCCCTTCCTAACCCCTAGGGAAAGTAAAAGAATTAGTACTACCCCTATATCCCTCGGTGAAATATTAAAAATATTTAAAGTTCACAAAACACAGGCAACTTTTTCAACCAACACCTTTGTTCTGTAAGATCACTCTTCACATAAAGAACACCTCAAGCTAAGCTGAGAGAAATAAACTTTAGACTTCAACCATTTCAAGCTTCCATCTAACTGTTTTATTACCCATTATTATGTTTCTTTTGTGTACTGATACACTAGAATAATCCAGGCTACAGCCCCACAGCTTGGCAAAGGCATCAGTTACGGACTGATCCTGCAATGAGGTGGCCGCGGAAAATGGTCCTTGGGAAACTTGCTGTGTAAAAACCTTATCCAGTTTGTGATGACAGCCTTGTGCGATCATTCTTTGGCCTCCAAGTCCAGCTTATTAGCTGGCCAACAGGTTTCTTGCTCTGGTTCATAGGCAAATGGTCAAGAGAAATACAGGAATAAACTTAATTGTCTGTAACCTATGGGCTTGTCAGTTTGTAAGAGAATCCTGCAGCAATCAAAAAGGATATTTTGGGAAAGACTGAAGGAAACATTACATGTGAAAACACAAATATTTGAAGCAACAAAATCTCAGGCTCAGGAGGCTACTAGAAGCTAAACAATGGGAAAGAGCTGCTGCCTCTTTCCTAAAGTCTGAACTAGAAAGCCCATCTCTTCAGAAGCAGAGCACGATTCATGTATTTGCACTGCCATTGAACACTGACTCTGATAGCATGAACCAGAAGTTTGATGTTCCTTACCAGTTCTTGGATGGAATCATGGACTGCAAAAAAAAGAAAACCCTAATTATGAATTGCTGCCAACTAGGGTTGTAGGGCTCTTGGAGATGGTCACCAACTCCAAGAGTCAGGAAATTAGGGGAAAAAAGATTTGGCTACCAATCAAACAGCTAAGGAAGAGGCAGATAGGAGACACAAAGCTCCACTTCCTCAATGCTTTCAAGATTCCTCTTAGAAAATCTGCTCACCCTTTAGTACAATATAGCAGTGAAAAAACCCAAAGGCTTTAGTGGCATCACATCAGTTTGTCATGCACCTGCTCCTCTATTAAAAGCTGGAAATAGGCTATTTTTTTTAAAAAAAGCAGGAACTAAATTTCACAAGTCAATCTGGACAATGGGCTGTCCTTAATGTCTCATTTTGCATCAGTGATCCACAATTTAATCAATTAATAGTGATGGCATTTCTATGCACACCGAAAAAGTGGAGGGTGCCTATAGCACCTTCCACTAAGGGGGGATATTTCAAAGCGCTTAACACAGTTGGCCTGGGGAACGGAGCTGGATGGGGTGGGGGAGGTGGCCAGTGGTAAGAGGAGAGAAAGAAGGTAGCTGAAAGCACAGTTAAGAAGATAGGTCCTAAGGCAGAAAGAGGGGGCAGAAAAGCTGAAAGCCCTGAAGCTGCTTCGTGGTTGCTGAGTTGAGGGAACAGCTGGGTTGCAGGAGGTCACAGAGGTCAGGTGTACTAAGGTTGTGGTGGGATTTGAAAGGGAGTGCAAGGTTCTTGAATTGATTCATTAAGGGATGGGGAGCAGTAGAGCTGAGCGAGCATGGGTCTCTGTTTCAGGTGAGGACACAGGCTGCAGATTCTGAATGGTCTGCAGCTTGTACAAAGAGGAGCTAACAGAGCGTTGGAAATAATCAAGCCTGGATGTGATGAAGGCGAAGATGGTAGAATACATATTACTAGTAAACACAGTCCCCGCAACCATAAAAACAACATTTTGAAGTGTGTTTTCCTGCAGTGGTGTAGTAGTATTTAACTTTTTGAACGTTTATTACATTTGGTATTTTCTGTATTTGAATGTTGAGCTGTACATCTTCATTCAAAAAAGTTAACTTTCCTGGCATTTGTTTTTAATAAACGCCATAATATTTTTGGGCTGCACACAGACACTCTGATGCTGGGGTCACCATGTAGAACTATTAACTTTTGAAGTGACATTCACATCATATTCATTAACATTGCTTTGGCACGTTGAAACTACAACAGTATCACTGACTTGCCCAGGTTACATGATTAAAGATATGCTCACCTCTTCCATCAAAGTTTCGTTGGGCGATGCAGCACAGAGACAAGTTAGATAGGTCTGTTTAAAAATGCTCTTCGTACCGATTTCTGGATGGTCTGTACAAAGCTTTGCCAACTTCATAGCCTGATCAATTCTTTTCTCTTTCACAAGATGTCTTATACGCATTTCAAGCAGGGCAGGGCCCTCTTGCAGCAGGAATTCACTCACTGCAAAGAAAGAAACTAATCACAAATCATATAATATCCCGGGTAGTTCAGCCAGATAATCACTGCCCACCTGTACAACATAAATACAGTAACACACAAGGTCTAGAAAACCTTTGTATTGGGTGGGGGTGGAGAAAGTGGAATTCTCCCTGGGGTTGAATTGGCTCTCGATCTTATGGCAGGTGGCACAACCAGACTACAGCATGTTCTCCCCCCACCCCTGCCTTATTGGAGTATTGTGGTGGAGATTAAGGGATCAACAGCATTGGATTGCTATTGTACTGAAATGGCATGATATGATACCTGTGCTATAATTCCATGCATGGCAAAGGAAATAAAGTTATTTGAATCTTAACGTAATAAAGAGCATTAGGTTTGACTATCTCTGAATTAATAATAATACTTACATTTGATATAAAAACATCAAGGCTGTTTATGGGACATTGCTGAATGCAAATTGGCTGTTGCTTTCGCCCACACTTAATTTTTTTTNCACTTTACAGTATATTCTGTGTAACGCTTTGGGACGTCCTCCAGAAGCTTGCTTTGTGCATTTTGCCATAATACAATGTTTAATTCTATTATCATGTGAGATGAGATAATAGATAAAAAAAATAATATTTGCTGATAATTTGAAAAATAGATTCATGGTGGAGGCTTCGGTCTTACATTTTGACCCCATCATATATATAAATTGAATTTAATAAGTCAATACAACAATGTCTTGTATTAAAAGTTTTACACATTTTAATATAACATTTATAACAAGAAAACACAAGATGTTAATGTTTCCATCTTGTAACAATTTGTGAAATGACTCCAAGCCTACATTCCTTTCTCAATAAATGCAGCACATATAAAGGACTAATTTTGTAGTCAGTAGCAATTTTTTTTATAAAAAATCAATTTCCAGGCAAAAAAAATTAACTTTCAGAAAATTATTGAAGCGTTTGTTTTATGTACTAGATGGATAATTTTTTACTGCTTGTACTTACATAAATACAAGGATAGATTTAATGGAGGTCAATACTGTGGAGTAGATCAAGAGCACACAGCTTAGGGTTGCAAAGGGTAATTTCAGGACAAATGCCAGTAAGTGCTTCATTACCCAGGGGGTAGGTAATTACTGGAACAGGACACGAGACTCATTTAAAAAATGTCTGGTGCTATGATGAGGAGATGGTAGGGTGGGTATCTGAAAAATGAGATCGCATGGCTCTAAATCTGAACCTCTTTTGTGATTTTAACCTTTTTATTCAGTTATCAGTACATTAACTGGAAACTGGTTTGGACTGTGCTTTCACTGGTTTATGAGAGGTAATTAATGGGGATATAGATCATGAAGAATAGCTTCCATTTATATCCATGGGAAGCCATGGGTTTTCCAACAGTACCCAAAGAACACTCTAGGATACCCAAACCTTACCTCTTACAAATCTGCACCTGCTTTCCAGGATTACATCAACAGGGTGCATCTCTCTAGGAAGAAGTGTCCCACTTGTGAGATTAGCCTATTTCATTCAGTAATCAGCATATTAACTGAAAATTTGTTGGAGCTGTGTAGCTTCTGGTTTATGAAAGGTAAATTGCTGCACACGCCATATCGAACAAAAGGAAGTTTGAATACAACTGTATGTATGTTTGACTTGGATGCTCCTAAACATCTGTATGTCAGATCAAAAAAAACACACACAACCCAAAAAATAAATCCAGTTGTTGCTGCACTTTTAAGAATTATTCAGGCAAGAAACAGGATACTCACTCACTTCATCTCATCAGTGAAATATAAATACAACTGGTTTGAATTCCAGATCCAAGCACTCCATTATACAACCAAGATAACGTTACGTTTTGTTATTTTGCTGTTGTACTCAATTCTTGCCAACAGATGGAGTAAACTCGACTATATTGACGTCATTAATGTAATAATTCACGCTTCTCACTATATGTTGCTGTACAAAAACTAAAGCACATTATTGTTTCCACAAACCAAATGCCTAGTAAAGAATTGGACATTATGGCATCTGTTGTGCATTACATGCAAATCATATGTGAATTGAAATTGCAGGTGACCTTAATTATCTAATTAAACAATCAAAATTGACTGATAATTATAAAAATCCTTCCTTGGTAGTGCTTTATCATGTCACAGACGTTTCAAAATGCTTCACAGGAATTTACTGTAAAATTTATTTTTGTGGGCTAATGTGGCAACCAATTTGCCTACAGCAATCGATTCCCGGCAGGGCGAAATGTTGGGCAAGTCTCCTTACTCTACACGCCTCTGTTTACCTAGCTGTAAGTAGGAACCAGGCTATTAGTCAATTGGCGGATCGCTTTTCCGGGGGATAATAATTCCTTAAAAAAAATTGGTCGCTTCGATCAATGGCCGTTTGTGGAACGCTGCTGTGTGCAATTGGCTGCTACGTTTCGCCCACAAAATATACAGTCAATTCATTTTACAGGATATTCTGTGAAGCGCTTTGAGATGTCTCGAAGACGTGATAAGGTGCTATATCAAATGTAAGGATTATTATTATTTTACAGTACCCAGAACACAAGTCAATATTTTCAGAAAACAGTGAAGAAGCCGATCACCAAAAATTCTTCTGGACCAAAATGTAAAAAAATCATCCAATTAATTAGCACTACATTCCTGATATTGGAGCAGAGAATAAAATGGCACAGCACCAATGTTCAGCTGCTTTCAAGGCTAAACATTAAATGTGTTTTTCAAATCTCATTTCAAAACATATATAATACAATTTTTTTAAAATTGAATGAACAGTTTTTTTNCCTTCTCCCAATAAATATGCAAGGAAAGTCAACAGCATTAAACTCGACCATTCCCTAACACTCTCCCATTATCAACTGGTTTAATAACAATTCTTTCAAACTTTTAATCAAATTGCTATGTTAAAGATAACATACCAGTGTAGTGTTACGATCAGAAGTGATTGTTTAAATTATTGTTTTACAACAACAAAATTACATTTGTATAGTGCCTTTCACGTCGGCAGGATATCCCAAGGCGCTGGACAGAAAGAGTTACGGACCTGATCTGGGGGTGGGTGGAGGGCAGGGGGGTAAGCAGGGAGAATGAAAGCACGGTTGAAGAGGAGGGTCTTGAAGTGGGTCTTGAAGGTGGCGAGGGAGGGGGCGAGACGGAGGGACTGCAGGATGGAGATTCAGAGGGTGGGTGCAGAGAGCTGGAAGGCCCGCCCGCCAATACTGGGGCGAGCGAGGCGGGGGATTTGAAATAGGACGGAACCTGCTGAGCGGAGGGAACGAACAGGGTGGGAGGTTAGGTGGACGGAGAGGAAGGGGTAGCAAGACCGTGGAGGACTTTGAAAGTGTGGACCAGGATCTTGAACTGTATCCTCTGTGTGATGGGAAGCCAGTGGAGTTGGGCAAGGATGGGGGTGATAAGGTCACGGAGCCTAGTGCAGGGGAGGACACAGGCTGCAGAGTTCTGGATGATCTACAGCCTGTGGAGGGAGTTGTGGAGGCCGACAATCAGTGAGTTTGCATGGTCGAGCCTCGATGTAATGAAGGCATGTATGGTTCGGCAGCCTGCAGTGTGAGACAGTGTCGGAGTCGGGGGACGTTGTGGAGGTGGGGTTAAGTTAAGCATGCTTGTTAGCTAGGGTCAAGCTGACCTGTAGAACTATAATTCTAATTAAATTGAGTTGCAGCATCTCGACCCAAGTGAGAGATGTTATGGGTAGCTGGTATGGGTAGCTCCTGATAAAATGTTATAAGAAAATGTCAGTATGTTGTGCCTTGTATTATGAAGAGTTTAATTGGCTAAGAGAGAAGTGATCGTTTTTAGTGTAGCTTGTGTTATTTGCTGATGTTCTGGTCCTTAATCAGAGTCAACCTAGGACCCAAGGCCAGGCTGATTAAACAACCATCAGTTGGGTGAAGATGAACGGACCAGCATGTATTAGCCTAATGTTAAAAANGAGAACCATGATTATAAAAGGAGGATAACTGAGTTGCATGTCGTCAGTCCAAATGTTCAGTTCGAGAGCAAGCGAGTAGGTTTTCTGCTCTTTTAAGAAGGCAGAACTTCCACCCAAGGTTCTCTGACTCAAGCCACTCAATTGCCCAGTAACATCAGAAGAAAAAAAAGAGACTTCAACGATACAAGAACATGACTGCAAAAGACTCAACAGCCATTATAATCAGCAAGATACGTTTGTCCGCTGCCTATGAACTTTGATAGTCACTACAGTGATAAGCTACACATGAGCATAACAGCACAATATTGCCTACTGTAACCCTACCTATTGTAACCATGTTTATTGAATCAATGCAAAACTATATGTCTTTTTGCCTCAATATCTATTAACCGTAAAATACAAGACTCCTCTTATCTCAAGTTCCCGACTTTGTATTTTTTTATATTTGATTATTTCAATCCACGACTCTTTGTAAGTCACTGCTGTGCGCAATTGGCTGCCGCGTTTCGCCCACATATATGCAGTCAATTCACTTTACAGTATATTCTGTGAAGCGCTTTGAGACGTCTAGAAGACGTGAAAAGCACTATATCAAATGCAAGGATTATTATTATTATATTTTGGCTAAACAGAATAAGATGGTCTCTTCTAGCAGCACCTTTTGTCCTGGGCTTCAACAGAGTGGTGAGTTCCACTGCTGGCCACACCTTTGAACCCAACAGTGGTTGCAGCCACAACCAATTTCTGCAGTCATTTGCGCTGTGCTGTGACTTGACAAATCCAACAATGTCTTAGGTCAGTGTTGACTGAAAAAATGTTATTTCAACTGGTCTCAAGACCTTTCTCTTTGACCGTGCCTTCAGCTCACCTCTCAACTCTCTGATCCCTCCTCGCTCCCTCCCCTCACCCTGACCATTTCCCCCCTGCTCGGGTCCTGACCCAACTGTCCAGTGCCTTGGGACGTCCTCCCGACGTGAAAGGCGCTCTATAAATGAAATCTTGTTGTTGTTGTACTGTCTACTAAGCTCATTATTTTGAGTTTTCATTAGATTGAAGGATCAGGCTGAGCTTTTAAAAATAGTGTCATCTTTTATACACTGAGAATCAAAGGTAAAGATATAATTTTAATTTCTAACTGCAAATAGAAATCTGCATTCTGGGCAGAGATGGTATTCTGTGAAGAGGTGTATTCTGTAACTTTCCCCATTTTGCTTAACATTCTCCAGGCTGGGGGGTGGGGGGGCAGGGGCAAGAGAAGAGAGTAAGGCGATAAGTGGAATCTCCTTGGAGCTAAGGGAGCTCCAAAGTGGCATGCTTGGCAACAGAATGCTGGATTCACCTTCATGGCAATCTTAATAGTCCACGTCCTGAGCCATGCAGGTCTGTAGTACTCTGGGACACAGCTGCTGACATACCAGCCTGCCTTGTACATCAGCAGGACTTGGGAGGGGCAGACCAGGCATTAGGTTCAGCAAATCTCCACTCAGCTCCCATTAACCTTGCAATCTAAAACCCTAACAGGTAAGGTGGACAAGCAGCAGTAAGCTTACCAGACAGTGCTTTCAAAGAATTGCAAGCAATGCGGTTTTAGCTGATTAAACTCCAGTAGTACCCCAACAAACACACTGGGGTTCCCAAGCCTTGGGTCTTGCCAACTTGCGCCTAATACTCTGGAATTCAGTAAGCAGGGTGCATCCCTCTGAAGAGAGAAGGGGCATTTTATTCCAAACACTTGAATTTACAAATTTACATATTAGACATAGTATTCAATTTGGTTTGGATATTTGAACATGGTAATCGATTTCCATGTGTCAGACACACAACTAATCAAAAAAATCTGTGTTCCTCTCCCAGCCTCCTCATGCGAGCCACCCTCTGCCCCACTGGCTCCCCATCTCCCAAAGAACAGAGTTCAAAATCATCGTCCTCGCCTTCAAGTCCCCCACGACCTCTGTGACTTGCTAATTCCGTATCCTCCTGTCCATTCCCTCCATTCAGCCCAACCTGCTCCACGTCCCGCCTTGCCCGCCCAACCATCGATGGTTGGGCCCCCAGCCTCTCTGCCCCCACCCTTTGGAACTCCATCCCACATTCCCTTCGCCTCGCTCCCTCCCTTGCCTCCTTCAAGGCACACCTCAAGAGCCTCCTCTTCGACCATGCCTCCAACCCCTACCTTCCCCAACCTTCACCTGGTCTGTAAACTGTAGTTCTATACACACACCACTATCGGGGCTGCCCTTCTAAATGATTAATAATAAACCATGATTAATTCAAGATTTATGTTAATTGTTTTTAATAGATCAAAGTTAATTTTTGCAATTAATGATTTGTTGATTTTTTAAATTTATATGGGACAAATTAGTAAACAAATTCTCTGTATTAAATACAAACAAAATTAGGATAATAAAATGCTCTTTTATAAATGTATTAAAGAGATTGTTCCTTGCTGAAATGATTTTTGGAAGTAGTGAGGGAAAAAGAGGTATCAAGCTGTTGCTTCCAATAACATGCTGTTGCCTTCAGTTTGATATCAACAATATTTAGCTGAGACCTAGCATTTAGTGTTCCTACTTTAGTGAGGCTAATCTCTTCAATGCCATCGAAATAAAAACAGAGGCTGTTTTGGGAAATAATGAAACCTTGACCAATAGCACAAACTAATTTTGACTTGCTGCTCAAATCCTTTGTACAGGAAAAGATTCAGTTAAAAACAATAACCTTGACGTTCAGAAGAAAAATACAGGAAACACTGCATGTAGACCAAACCAAACAAATTAAAATTAATGATTCTGCACATAAAAGGGTCCTCAGCCACTCTTGCCTAATTAATCTTATTCCTCCAATTTTTTTGAAATGGAGGGTCACTCCTGATTTTAACAGGGTTGAATGCTCAACTTGGTAATTTGTTATCTAGTAACAACCACAACTTCTGTCCACAAACAAAAATCAACCAAAATAACTTGCAAAAATTCAACTATTCACCCCCTGCGAAATTGAGTATAGCCTTGAAACATAATCATTTCTGCAATTGCTATTAAAGCCATCATTAGTGCACTATTTCTCCTCATGAAAAAGCTCGTCCTCATGTACTTCTCCACTAGATTGTCATAGCTGCTTGATCCTCTCCTGGTAACTATGGAAATAGAATTCTTATTCACATAATTGTCAGGCACACAAGAGTTACAAAAATAGATTAATAGTTTGAATATATTTTATGTTTAAATGGCACGATGGCTGCATAATCGTTGTTCTGCATCATAACAATGTCCTTGCATTTGATATTGCACTCTATCACGTCCTCAGAACATCTCAAAGCGCATCACAGGATTTACTGTTATGTATAGAAAATGTATATTTGGAGGAAACTAATCTGACAATGCAGAGCTCCTCCAGCATTGGAATGTCTGCCTAGACTATGACTGCATAACAATGTCCCACAAACATAAATAACCAGTTTTATCAGGGGAATTGTTGGAACAAGACACTAGGAGAAACCCTCTTTTCTTTACGAATTGTGCTACGAGATCTTTAACATCCACCTTACAGGCAGACGATAGTCTGGTGTAGCACTACATTGCCAGAGATGCCTTCGGATGATGAGTTTCTCAGGGTCTTCTGCCAAAAATCCCCAGATAAAAACTGATCACTCATTTCATGGTTGTTGTAGGACAGCACTATGTACAACATTCCTGCCACATTCACCTACAAATAAAATTACTACACATTCCAGTAATTTCTTTGAAGGACTGAGACATCTCAACAACATAAAGTGCTATATCAAATGTAAGGTTATTTCATTTCAATTACGGAACTCAGCTTAATGTCTCATCTGAAGCATTGGAGTGTCAGCCTAGACTATGACTTCAAAGTCCTGATGTGCGTTTGAATCTTCTGACTCCGAAGAGAGTGTGCTTCCAACTAAGCCAGGTTAGCACCTGTCCTGACAGCCCATTATTAAAGAGGAAAGGAAGTCTGAGAGCATAGTTTCATTACCAGATTTCAATATTTTTCTCCCCACCTGCTGTATTCCAGTAAAGCACAGAAACAACGAGTATAATACTCTTCCCCGGTCACCATACAGTACACATTTGTATGGCACTTTTTATGTCCGGAGGATGTCCCAGAGGTCATTCACAATGCTGGATGGGCACCCGAGCTGAGGAAGGGAAAGATGGTCAAACATCTACATTTTCCATACTGCAACCTCCTGGGCAAGGATAGCCAGCGTCTGAAGTTCTGGATTAGCATATTCCAACAGTACTTTATGAACTGCTTGTAGAAATCAAGAACAACATCTAACATGGCTTAAATGTACCATGTCTTCCTAGGTTAGGTACCCGGTCAACTGGTCCCAACGAAGCTGGTAAGGTTAAACTAAAGTGAGCTGCTGAGAGACATTTCCCATTTCTGTAGTGCACCACCACAATAGCTATCGTTCCAGGGAAACATTACCATCTTGCCGAAACTCTCTTGGAAAATTAAATTACAAGACACAGAATTTGCTGTGCTAAATTGTTTCATGTTAAATTCCTTTCTGCAAAGTGCACTGATGGGCAACTGAGTTTTTAAGAATTAATTTCAAGATCACTGATAAATTTTATTTTAACTATATCCTACCTTTGTCCTGTTCCATTGACTGCTGGGAGAAAATGTTGTCAAGTATGGAGTTTTTCCAGACTGCACCCTCCTGGGCAAGGGTAGCCAGCATTTGAAGTTCTGGATTCGCATATTCCAACAGTATTTTATGGGCTGCCTGTAGAAATAAAGCACAATATCCAACTTTATTAAACATGTAGCCAAATGGATAGTTTAAATGAGAAAAAAATCAAAATGTTAAATGTACCCACTTCAGTTCTCCAAAATCTTGTGGAAAAATCAGTCTGCTAAATAATATAAATGCAAGTAGAAGTAATAGTACACACTAGAGTTATCACTACACTGACATCCTAAAACATGGCACAGCCTGTCAAGGCACACATTGCTGTATCACAACAGGATAGCTAATGTGTTTTGCAGGAATATTTCAATTGCAGTGTACATCTAGCCAGAGAACTCATGACATATTCCAAGCAACTAAGGTGAATGAACAATTTGACATCAAGCAAGCTTGACTCAAATGTGAGGTGGGCTTTTAGTGCAATATATCATGCCGATAACACTAAGAATTGCAACATACTTCAAAATTCCAATTCAGATGGATCCAGTTTCCTTAAATAATTTCTTAGTGTTGACCAATGACACTAAGCAGTCCTCCAAGTTTTATTTTTTTTTAATACAACAAACTTCTAACATGAGCAATCTTGAGATTTTGATATGAAACTAAAAGTCAATTTTGAGATGTTTACTGTTGAAACATTTCATTATGCTTCAGCTGATGCTGTAATTACCATTCAGGACAAAGGTTTGTAAGTGCTTGTTAACCAGAAATCTGAGATACAAAATTGATAATGTTGCTATCAACACAAAATGTGCCAAATTCTATGATCCTGCAGCCTCAATCTTAATGCTCGATTAAAAAGCTAATCATCTTTGAGCTTGATTTACACCTTAAGTTATTTTTCACAAGCTTTCAGCAGTGTGAAGAACAATGCAAATGTCAGTCATTTTTGTGCCCAAATCACGAGGACAAATACAGGTACAACCAATATTGGTAAGAAACAAAAGGCAAAGTACTGCAGATGCTGGAAATCTAGTATAAACACAGAAGTTGCTGGGAACATGCAGCAGGTCAGGCAGCATCCATGGAGAGAGGAAAATGAGTTAACGTTTCAAGTCCATGACCTTTTGTCATATTGGTAAGAGGCTACTGTCACTTGATTTATGAAATGATGATATGCCATTGGATCTTTCACTATGGACTAGTTTTAATAAGTCTTAGCATTGTGACTGACTCTAGATGTATATATTGAAAAAACTTTTTTTCCTGACTGGTAACTCCATTCAAAACAAACCACTTCCAGAAATTGTGGAAAGAAATTTAGTCACTCCAACTCATTGTCACGTTTGAAATGGATGTGTGGCCCAACTATGTAGCTGGAGAACTCGTTGCATATTCCAAGCAACAACTCAAATGCTTGACTCAAATGCAATATACTTCAATATTCCAATTCAGATGGATCTTTTCAGAGTTGGCAAAAAATTCCTATTGGAAATGCAGAGACACTAGATGAGAATTCAGTAACTAAAAATATCAAGAAGCTGAGGAGGCGTTTTTGATACTTTAATTTTCCCAGGTAGGCTAAAAATTTACACCAAATTAGCATAGTTAACTTGTTGAGGCCATATCAGTTATCTTTTCTATTATAGGCACAAAATACAAACAAAAATAAAACTGTACATTTAAACTTCGATCTATGCTGGCATCAACATTTTTAACCTTAAAATCTAGAAAACTTGACTTGATTAACATGGTCGGTATGAGATGAGAAGTATAAAACAAGGAACAGTGCAGCAAAAGCAATTATTACTTTCTACACTAAATTAATATTAAATCCTTTTAGAAGTACTAAGTTCCTGGGAAAAACATTAGCATTCTATTCTAGATCTTTAATTACTTTTTTTAAAAAAAGGAAACTTAACCTCAGTTGGGGCCAGTTATTGGGGTTCAACCCACAGAAATTTATGACAAAGAAGGCCATTCAGCCCTTCAGCATCCAAGGCTGCACTCTCCACCTCTCAAAGCCATTCAGGAACCTCGGGGTTCTGTTCGACCCTGAGCTGTCCTTTCTCCCTCATATTCGTGCCACAACTGGCACCGCCTTCCATCACCTCCGGAACATCGCCAGACTACGGCACTACCTCACCCCTCACGCTGCTGAAACTCTGGTCCACGCCTTTATCACCTCAAGGCTGGACTATGGGAACTCTCTCCTCGTCGGCCTTCCCGCCACCTCCCTCCACAAGCTGCAGGTCATTCAGAACTCTGCAGCTCGTGTACTGTCCCGCACCAGGCTTCGGGACCACATCACTCCCACCCTCGCTCGCCTCCACTGGCTCCCCATCCCCCAGAGGATCGAATTCAAGATCCTCATCCTCACCTACAAGGCCATTCACGGCCTTGCTCCCTCCTGCCCGTCCGACCTCCTATCCCCCTACCTACCTGCCCGTACCCTCCGTTCCTCCGGCTCCGGTCTGCTGCACATCCCCCGCCCCAACCGCCCTACCATCGGTGGTCGGGCCTTCAGCCTCTCAGCCCCGAGGCTCTGGAACTCCATCCCCCAGTGCCTTCGCCGCCTCCTCCCTTTCCTCCTTCAAGGCCGGTCTCAACACCTTTCTCTTTGACCGAGCCTTCAGCTCCCCTCTCGACTCTCTACCCCCTCCTCGCTCCCTCCCTTCCCTCCCCTCACCCTGACCATTTCCCCCCGATGCTCGGGTCCTGACCCAACTGTACAGTGCCTTGGGACGTCCTCCTGACGTGAAAGGCGCTCAATAAATGGAATCTTGTTGTTGTTGTTCGTGTCTGCACTGGGTACTTAGCTCGTGCTTTTAAATTCACACATACAGAGCACTCTAGGCTTCAGTTATAGGGATCTTGGAAAAGGAAAATATAAATGATGTTTCCCATTCCTAATTGCCTATCCACAAGAAATTTTAAATAGCTTTCAGCAATAAAAATTAAGTTTTTTAACAGCTAATTTTTAAATATTCATTATCCCAACTTTAAAATAATCTGCTCCTGACAGTCATAATTATTGTTTAAACGAACACAATAGAAAGAAAGAAGGGATAGGAAATGAAACACCAGGTTCCAAAGCAGTCTCTAGATTTTATTGATATGCCAGCTATTTATAAAACGATGCTGGGAGAACACTTTAAATTAAAGTACATTCCATATATGGAATACAATCTTTTTTTTGAAAAAAATCTAAATTTCAAAGCAAATTCAATATACACAGGACCATTAAACAAACATAATTGAAATCTTCTAGACTACCCATTACTAAAGGTAATTAAAAAGTCTCACATTCCTGTCATTACATTATCTGGTTTCTAAATACAGCAGTATGTTGTATAAGTTTATGATAAAGGAATTCAAAGATTACATACAGCAAATGCCTGATAATTTGTCACTCCAAGGAAAAGGGCTCAGTAACGAGTTTTCCGGAGTAAGGAGTTAAGCATATATATATATATGTATATATATGTAAACATATAAATAAATGTGGCCGGGATATTGACAGCATGATAACTTAAGTGGTAGTGACAATTTAAGCCAGGGTCAGGTCATCAGCCAGGCTTGAGTATTCAGGAATTTACTGTATATAAATCTTTGAATTCCTTCAATTGGAAATGGGAATTCAAAGAACTAGAGCTAAACTACATACATACAAGAATAAAACGTTTTGAGTCAGTAAACAAACTACAAAAAAATCCTCAGTAAATTTGTATCACTGGAACTAAAGCCTGAACATCTTGATTAGACTATGAAAGTGAAAGACATTTGTTGGACACATCAAACTATGAAGGTTTTGCCTAAGAATTTCCCACCTCAAAAGTTAATGAGTAGAAATGCACAACATTTCATCTTTTTATTGCTCATCATAATCACATTTATACTGATGTGTCACTAACAGGTTGTTATCGGTAAATAACAAACATCCCCTGAAGTAAAGATGCCAAGATGATCTTTCTTTCACCCACCTCCCGACCACTCTCAATGCTTGATCTGTCCTCAATTTATGGGGGAGGGGCAAAAAGAAAAAATAGCCAGCATTCCTGCCTCTAATCGCTATCTTGTCAAATAGTGCTTTCAATAGCAAGTTAAACAATTTTAGCTGGTGAGACTCCAGCACACACTGGGATCCCCAAGCCTTGGCTCCTGCTAGTCTGCACTTAATGCTCAGAGCAGGATGTTCCTTCCAGGAATGCGTGCATTCCATTCCAATACATGGCAATTTCCATGTGTAGGTGGGATGCGTGGTTTGGATATACAAGCATGATGGTGCGTTCCATGTGTGTCAGACACTCAGCTGACCAAACAAATCACTATCCGTTCTTCCCTTCTGAAAAAAAATCAGGTGTATATGTATATGTGCATCATGACTCCTGGCTCACACACAGAATAACCATTTTGTTGCTGTTTCTCATAGTTCAGGAAAAGAGTGAAAATGGAAGAAATCCATTCCATGCTTGATTCAAATCCTGAATGCCAAAAAATGCAGGGGAGTAAAAATATTCCACACGAATGAGAACAAAAGATTCACTTTTAAATGCTCTATAGTAAGCCAAAAATGCTTTTAGCAATTCAGAAAATTATCAGCACAGGAGGAAAGGTCAAGAAAAATTATGATCACTTTCATTTTAGTTTTCAAAAAGTGCAACTGCCTTTGTGGTATTGAAGTGGTTGATGTTCTTAAAATACAATTTCTGAAATAGTTACAAATCAAACAAAGCCTCTTCGAACTTCTTGGTAGCCATATTTTGAGCTATTAGGTCCTTTTGCACACCTGAGCCAAATGCACTTCTCCAACTCCCTGAATTCTGACTATTTTGATCTTCTGATTGATGGTGCTGAATTTAATTTATGGCTCTATAACTATTTTATTAAAAAAATTTACAGAACAAAAATGTCCAACTGACAATTTTGCTTAAGAACAACAGCTTTCAATTCCTCCACTGCACCATAGTCACAAGATTGGTTTTGTTAATATCTGGGCCTAATTGATCATTTGGGAATACAACATCCTATAAGAAAACCAAAGGGGGGGGGGGGAAAAACACAATTTCTTACTCTTTAAATCAGGAGAGAAAATT